CAGTGACGACGCCAGCACCGACGCCCGCGCCGACGCCAGCGCGGCCTGGTTCTACTTTGTTGCGTCCTTGATGGGCGGGCGGGCGAACGTCATGGACCATGGGTCATCGGCATGAAGTTCTGATCACGGCCTGCGAGTTGTTACAGGATATTCCCCCCTGTTAGTTTTTTCCATTGAATTGAGGGTTTCTTCTCCCTCCCTGTGCAATGGCGGGCCCCTGCCTGGCCGGTGGCGCCCGACCCCGGCCACTGCCGGGCTCGTCCTCCTGCCGCCTTAGGGTGCTCGCGCATGGCGGCTGCCAGGTGCCATTGCAATACATCGATCATTTCTGGCCTTGCTTCCTTTCCGCTGTGGTTGTTGTTCTCTTGTCCTCTGCTCTCTCTCTCTCTCTCTCTCTTTTTTTCCCCTCTCTCTTTGCTGCTCGTGGCTCCATACCTGCGTGAGGTACCACTGACATGGGCGTCAACGGGAGTATATACACATTGCGCTGCAGCCGCGCAGTTTTCCCCCTTTTCTCTGGGGTCTCTGGCGCGTGCTCGTCTTCCCTCCTCTTTCCTCTTGCGTTTCTTGCGCTTTCTCCTTCTTCTCCTTGTTTCTTGGTTCCGTTTCCTAGTCGTTTCACGGCTTGCTCTTTATAGCTCGCTAGGGGTATTCAGTGTCGCCGCGGATCAGTGGCCGTTTGTTCTCTCTTACGTTTCAGGATGTAGCGCAGTTTCGCTGACGAGTATTACAGGCATTCAAGCTGAGGTGGTCAGATGTTTGGCCGAGGAAAAACACAAGCATTGTATTTATCTTATCGTATCATGGTTTCATATTCGTGGGATGTCGGTTAGCTAACGGAACGGTATATGCAAAGCATGATTACAATGGCCTTTTGTTCAGTGATCTTATTCTCCTCGAACGATACTGCATACATTTCACAAGTATTATGGTGCTTGGAGTGCCCACGTGATTGAACATCTTATGATAGTATCATCTTGATCAATGCGTGTCGCAACTTCGATCACGCGCATAAGATTGATTGTCTTATGTGGACTGCTTCGTACCCACATATCTCGAGATACTATTTTCGGGCCAGGTGTGCCCTGTGAATGAATCGTTACATTGCCTTTTACTTTGATCGGTTGTCGTCGCGACGTCGATCGCGCGTACGCTCCTGAATTCACGTTTTGGGATGCTACGCGCCCGTGTATTCCATTGCATATGAAATTTGAATCGAATCTGTACTTTTAGCGCATACATGCACACGCGACTTTGCGCGCCGGTGGAAACACCTGCGTCTGTGTACTTCAGTAGCGCACTTGACGCAAGACTGTCTCTTCTTATTTCTCTTGCTCTCCCAACCCGTCGCCGGTGGTGACGGGGAGTCGTCGCGGCATGCCGAAGCTTTGTTGGGGGGCGCACCCTCGGCCCGCTAAAGGCGGGTAGACTCCCCTCAGTACCCTGTGCGCCGTGGTTGGTCTTTTCTTACTCTCCTAGCCGAGGTGGACCTCGTTTGGACGTCGCAGGGGATGGAAGGTTGTTTTGAGTGGTCCTCACACCGCTGTCCCCGAGTCCCCCGCCTCTGTCTCCTGCGGGCCCGAGGCAAACGTGGAGCGGGCGGGATTCGGGATGGGACGTGTGTGTGTGTGTGAAAACCGTTCATCTCTCCTTTCTATCCATCTATCCTGCTATCCTCTCGCCGCAGGTATTGGACATATTGAGCTCGCTTGTTCTGACGGGTGCATGGACAAAAGAGTCACATCTTCCTTCCCTATCGCCTTCTACCTACGGACCCTTCGGTAGGTTCAACCCGCTGGTCGTTGACTTCCGTTCACATCGCCCGAAGGGTGGGTGTATAGATTTGTGGTGATATCTACGTGGCGAAATATATGTCGTGCAATCTTTGTGTTGCAATCTATGCGGCGTAGTTTATACGGCGCAATAGATGCCGTCCAGCATACGTAGCCCAACATGTGTGTTCAACCGATGTGGTGCAACGTAGGCGGCGCAATGTTTACGGCGCCCCATTCATGCATGCCTACGCTGGTCCTCACACGCACTTATCCGAGGGAGTCGAGCTCAGAGGCGCTTGGTGCGTCGTTTAGCTAGGGACATCACCATTATTCTAAACATCGTTGGCACGCCCCGCGCAGATCGCGACGTCGCGGTCCAAGCGCACATCGTTTTTGGTTTCAACAAGAAGCCGTCACACGACAATGGGCTTTATTGACGTTGAACAAGTTTTTTTTGTTTCGGAACTTGCAATTTGGCCTGGCCCATGCTCCAACATTCGAGCGTCTTTTTCCAACGCGATTCCTAGGCACCTGCAGTTTTGCTTGGGACATCCTCCCAACATCGATCCCCGACGTACAACATACACACATAATACACGCAGAACACGCACACACACACCATACCACACCAAACACACCACAACACAACATCAACACACACATAGACACACACAGAGACACACACAAACATAACACACACACGCAACACCTATAGCACACATACCGCACAGAAAACACACGCATACACATGCATGCACACATCACACACAGCACACCCAACACAAATTACACACAACAAACCGAACACACACACAACACGTAGAACACACATGACCCTCCCTCGTCGTCGTCTTCGTTGGCGACATCGTCGTCGTCTTTGTCGTCGCCGTCGGCATCGGAGTCGTCATCTTCGTCGTCGTCGTCGACGTCGGCGTCGTCGCCGTCGTCGTCGTCGTCGTCGTCTTCGTCGTCGTCGTCGTCGTCGGTCGTCTTGCTTCTCTGGCCTTTTTGGGGCGCTCTTGAGGCGTCCCCGAGGGCTCCAAGACGACCCCGGAGCGATACGTGTGCTCGGTCCCGCATGGGTTTTGCAAACCCAGTTGCGGGTGGGTGGGTGGGATGATTGCGCGAGTAGTGGAGTTGACAATTTCGAGTTCGGCAAGTGAATTGCAAACATATGTTGTACCACGTGTATTTATATACACACATATTTAAACAAGTGGCACGTGCGTGCCCAGGCTCATACAAACCCATGTACAGGCTTGTGTGTGGTGTGTAAGGAACGACTACAACGACGACAACGACGACAACGAGGGAGGAGGGAGGACGGCGACGACGCGAACGACGAAGAAGGAGGAAGGACGGCGACGCCGACGACAACGACGAGGGAGGAGGGAAGACGACGACGACAACGACGACGACGACGGCGACGAAATAGGAGGGACGACGACGAGACGCCGACGACGGACGACGACGACGACGACGGGAGGAGGAGGAAGGACGACCACGGCGACAACGACGACGGAAACGACCACGACGCCAAAGAGGACGACGACGACGAACACGAGGAAAGACAGAGGACGACGTAGGCGACGACGACGACGACGACGACGCGGGAGGAGGGAGGACGGCGACGACGACGACGACGACGCCGCAAGAGCGCGCGCGCACGCTTTTGTTGAAAATCCGTGTTGCGAAACCTTGTGTTTTTGTAGTTTTTTGGACGCGCGATTTTGAAATCCTTCCGAAACCGATGGGTTTTGAAGGATTTCGGCGTACGCGCGCGACGACGCGCGCGTCTGCACTTCGTCCCATTTTTTGGCAAAGGATTCTCGCGACGGCACACGCGCAAGGGCGTTCGACAGATTTCGACATTCGCGCGCGCGACGCCCGTTTGGTAGCATGTTGTGAAAATCTTGAAAAACCAAGGGTTTTTCATAAGATTTCGCAAGAGCTCGCGCGTAAGCTTTCTTAGCAAATCAGTGTTACGAAACCCTGTGTTGTTGTATGTTTTTGTTGGGAACTCAATTGCGAAATCCTTCCAGCACCGAAGGTTTTTGAAGGATTTCGGCATGCGCGCGCGACGACGCGCGCGTGTGCACTTCGTCCTATTTTTTGCAAGGGATTCGTGAAAAAGTGAGATGTTAGAGCAACAAATGTCACCGCATAGTGTTTTACAAGGGAACCTCAGGGGGGGGATACCGGTTGGCCTGGGACATTGTGATTTCATATTTAGGATGGACATGTGGTCATAATCATATGTGATTTACGTACCCGACAGGGGGGGCGATAACGCCGGGGGAGGGGGGGGGTAGAGTGTATTCTCTTTTTAGAAAGGAGAATCTAGGGCGACACGGAGCGGCGACGGGGCGGCGGCGGCGGCAACATAGCCGCCAGACCGACAGACAGGCCCAGACGACGGACAGCGACGAGGCGATGACGGGGCGGCGGCGGCGGCAACATAGCCGCCAACCCAACAGACAGGCCCAGCTCCTTAGTAAAAAAAGCCCCTATGTGTAAGCGTTGTTTGGGGAAATAGTGCCAAAAAGAAAGCGAGGGTGGTGATGATACAGATAATCCGGATGAGGAGAAGGAGCAGGGACATAACGAGAGTAATCAGGAGGGACATAATGAGAAGGAGCAGGAGGAGGATCAGGATGATGCTGGTGCTGATGATAATGAGAGTGATGATGATGGTGAGGAAGAGGAGGAGGATTATGTTGATGATGCTGATGATGTTGATGTTGATGATGCTGCTGTTGATGCTTATGGTGGTGGTGATCATGATTATGATGATGATGGTGATGATGATGATCATTCGGATGATGGTTCGGATGATGATGATGATGCTGATGATGATGATGATGATGATGATGATGATGATGATGATGATGATGATGAGTAGGATTGATGATGGTGATGATGATGCTGCTGATGATTCTCATGATTATGATGATGACGATGATGATGTCGAAGATTTTGGTGATGATGGTGATGATGATGATCATGGACGATGATTACTGCTGATGATGATTCTGATCATGTTGGTGATAATGATGACGATGATGAGGAGGAGGAGGAGACGGGAGGAGGAGGAAGGTAATGAGGAGAAGAAGGGGAATGTGGAGGAGGAGGGAAGCAATGATGATGATGAGGAGGAGGAGGAGGAGCATGAGGAGGAGGAGGACCGTATTCCCCCTCCCTTCGTCGTCGTCCTCCTGGGCACAGGTCCCAGCCGATGTGCGACGACGGGGGCGACGACGACGACGAAGTGTGGGCGTCGATCGCCAGCAGGGTGGACAAGAAGGCTTCTGCCTCCCCCTTCCTCCCGCTGCTCTCAATCTCCCTCCTCTCCCCTCCCCCAGTGCAGTCTGGACGTGAATGTCTTCCCCCTCCCATTCCCCGCCCCCTCCTCCCTCCCTCTCGTCCTTCTCTTCCTCCTGTCACATCCGCGTCCTCGCGAGTTCGACATTTCTCCCAGCATAGTCCGAGGTGCCTTGGCCAGGGACGCCTGCGCTCTCAGGAATGGCGCTCTCGCCCGAGAATTCATTGGGGTTGGTGAAGGCCCAACTATCGGCGGCCAGCCGTGGGGCAGGTCTTCTCAGAAGGCTCGGAGGCCCTCCGGCTTTCAGGGAAGTTTTCTCAACTTTCCCGAAGACGCAGAAGATTTCTCAGGAGGCCGGAGGGCTTCAGAGAAGCCCCGCCGCCTGATTCCCCTCGCTCGCCGCCGAAACTAAAACAACTGCTGCCGCTCGATACTTTCCTTTCATTACTCCCGCGCTCCCTGGGCAGATGCGCCCAGGGAGGCGTTCTCGTCGAGATTTTTCCTCAACTCGATCAACTGGGTGAAGGCCGAAATGCGGCGATAACGGCTCCCGTTCGACACTTCGTCGGGACAGTCTTCGAGGCGCCTTGGCCAGAGACGCTCCCCCTTCCTCTTTCTTTCCCCTCTACGTAGGTACTTCGTCGCCCCCTCTATGTAGGTACTGCGGTCGGGGGCTTCTGGATAGCGTGTCAGCCGGTTCTGGCCCACCACGCTGCGGCGCGACACGCCATCCATTTCGCGGTCCCCAGGCGTCAACGTCCTGAGCCTTTCCGAGCTTCCCAGCACGCGGAGCGGAGCGACGCGCCATCCGCTCGCAAGGGATAGCGTGTCGCAAGGGCCGCCGCCGCCGCGACACGCTATCCAAAAGTTTCTGACTGTACCCGTATCGGGCAAGGAAATGTACCCCCCAAAGTGGGTACGGCCCAAGACGAAGAGGGCGGATACCGACGGTTCATCATATGCATGTTGGATGGCACACGAGCAGATCAGAGCGAACAGCCTGATAACGATCGTCGTTGTTATCGTCGATGCCGTTGTCGTTGTCGTCGTCCTCGCCAGCAACCTCGTCGTCGTGGCTGTCGTCGTCGTCGTTGTCGCCGTGATTTGCGTCGTTTGCTTCGTCGTGTTTGTCTTCGCCGTCTTCGTCTTCGTCGTCGTCGTGGTCGTCGGCGGCCTCCTCCTCGCTGGCCGTCGCGGTCGCCTGCCGTCGCGGCTGGCGGGGAGGTTCGAAGACCCCCCACCTCCCTCCTGAGCGGGGGTGTGTGTTCGTACCCCGCACCCCCTTGCGGGTGGGGAGGGGTAAGGATGTGGGGGTGGGGGGGTAGAGGGGGGAGGGGAGGGTTGGTCTCGGCGGATAGCCTTTAGATTTAGCGAACTTGGAACGCGCTCCCTCTGACCTCGAAGGCGCGGACCCGTTATTAGTTGCGCGGGATGGTGGCCTCGACTGCTTTCCGCAATCTATGGAGTGAGGTGCTTGCTGTCTTGAGCCTGCTTGCGCCCTTCTCCCCTCGCTTCCCCTGCTCCTGCTCTGTACCCTCATGGTCATGCTCTCCCCACTACTATAATCATTTCGACACCACTCTTCCTCTCCACTCGTCCTCCTCTTCTTTTCCGTCAGCACACACCTATATATTGATTTGTTTACGTAGTCTACCTACCTACCTAAATACATACCGACCTGCCCTCTTCCTACCTACCTACCTACGTCGGCGTTGCGCGCTACACCGACGACGCTGAGCGCACTTGCTGGGCCGTCCTGGTGTACGCACTGTACATGGTCACGAACCGTAGGCGCTACTTGCCAGAGCCCCCGTCTGGAGGCGCAGAAGTGGCCATCCAAGAGGTTATACAGCAGTGCCGCGGCGCGGTCGAGGGGCACGTTGCTTCCACGCGGTGTTTGCGCGCGATTTGGCGCGCCCCGCGGGCATCCAGCAGCTAGTCCCCCTTCTTCTTCTCTTCCTCCTCCCCTCTCCCGCCCGAGTCCGGGGCTATTGCAGGTTTTTGCCCTCGTCCCTGCACTGCTGCCGACTCTCCCGCAAGGGGGTGATACGTTTTCAGGCGAATTCGTATCATGTGGTATCTACATTGTCGTTTCTTGTGTCCGTCGCCACACGCTTGGCGAGGAAGAAAACGGCTTTCAAGTGCAACCGGCTTTTGCGTTACGACGGTGGTTCTTGAATCATGCGGTCCAAGAAAAAACATGCATGCATGCATGCATGCATGCATGCAAACATGCCTGCCTGCCTGCCTGCCTGCCTGCCTGCCTGCCTGCCTGCCTGCCTGCTTATTGACCTACCTACCTACCTTACCTACCGACCTACCTACGTGCATACATACATACATGCATGCATGCATACGCAGCCTTGGCTACAGCCCGGGATGCAAACGCGTCCTGGTCCAGGTGTTGGTGGAGAGGACGGAGTGTTCAGCCTTGGCGTGCATTTGCTGGTCCACCAACTCAAGAGCACCGAGGCGCTTCAGACCGCTGCCATCGGGTGCCAGATGATGCTGGGGGACCAGTCCGCGCGCATTCTCGTGCTCACCTCACCACAGGTTCTCGACTGCCTCCACAGCCTCTGCGACGAAATGATATTGGTTGCCCCAGCCAGCGCCGTGGTACACACCTCAGCCAGGAAGGAGGAGTGGGAGGAGACGATGACCAGCATCTTGCGCGACGACCCGGGCTTCACAGCGATGCAGTTTCCTTGGAGGCGGGCTTCGGGTGGGCGCCCATTTGCGCGCCCGCGCGTTCTCGACTCTGTCCTCAACGCTTGGTGGCGCACGAGCGTGCGCAGAGAGGTGGCGTGACGGTGCCCACAGGGCCACGTTCAGCTGCGAGGGCCTCTGGGCGCGCGACCGCAGGAGCTGCTGGCGCGGCTTGCGGAGGCGATCGGCGCCAAGACGGATCAGTGGACGCAGCGGCCACCCTCCGAGGACCCAGTGCCGCAGTCGTGGGCTTTGGAACTCACGCCATCCGGCGACGTCACTGGCCGCATCTGTTTCCAGCTCGACACTCTGGACAACGTGCGCCACATGCAGGAGACTCTTCAGGGGTATGTGGTCGAAGTGAACGGGGCCCAGACGCTGGTGCAGGTCGTCAGCGCGGAGCTCGTCTCTCCACTCTAATACGCACCATGGGCCCCATCGGCTTCATCAGGATCATCTTCGTATCCAGGGACCTCCGTTTCTGCAACAGGTCCCTCACATATTCCGCGACTCCGACTGCTGGCCCGGGAGGCGCCCGACCTGCCGTCAGCGGCGCGGGCGCACGCACCCGACGGTCTGCCACGACACGACCGCCTACAGCAGCTCCTGCGCCGCATGGGGGCCCCCCTGATGACTCACCCAGCGCGAGTCCGCCAGGTGGCAACCATAGCCTGCACCGTGACAACCCCTATGCCGGTGACGTGGTCGGCCGCAGTTGGAATGCCCAAGTTGTGTTCGCCACGTTTGCGAAGTCGCACCGACGCAAGAAGGCGCGATATTTGCGTCTACTTCGCGGTGCTGATTTGTTGGCTGTTCCAAAAACGCACAGCACTCCGGGTTCAGCATCGGCCATGTCCGCGCCGAGAGGAGTGCACTGCTGGTGGTCTCATGGCACCCAGGTCGTTGAGGGTATGGGTATACCAGTGACGGAGAATTTCCTCGCCAAGTTTGGCGGTGTTGCAGCGGCGTCTTGGGTAGAAGTTATGGCAGGGAGAGCGGCCATTTTACGGCTTGGTGGCCCCGTTCGGTCTTTGCACATTGTTGTGTTGTATTTTCATACTGGGGCGAGGCACGACAACAGCGGACGGACATTCGCGATGCGACGTCCCACCATATCCGGCACTGTCTGCGGGTTGCCACCATTCTCATCGGGGACTGGAATGTCACACGCGAGGGCACAGACAGGATGAATCTCACGGACGCTTCTTGGTCGATGGACCGCGATGCGGACGACCACTCGGACTGGGTCGACGTGTTCTTCCAGCCATTGGGTCTTTACGAAACATTCCAACCAGATTTTACGCATCGCACTACTCGTGGCACCTCTCGCTTGGAAAAGGCTTGTGTGAATGCACATCTGGCAGAGCAGTTGTATTTCTCTTGGAGCTGTTCTGCATTAAGCTAGACACCAGGATTGTCCACGCATCCCCCAAGTGAGATAGCGCGCAGGACCGTGCGGCCAGAGGCCACGCGACGCTGGCCCATCCCGACAGCCCCCTGCAGAACCCAGGGGTGGGCAGCACCAGCGGAGATGCGCTTTCGAGAGCTCTGGCGCGGCGACGCGTTGCGAGACTTACGGCATCGCCGCCTCTTACTTCTGAAACGGGCAATCTCCCAGATCAGCGTCGAGGACAACGGCTGGCGGGTTCACTGGCAAAACTTCGGAACCAGCAGACCAACTGGGGGCAGCGATCCGTTGCCTGAGGGCCGCGGAGTCCGGGAGAGCGTTGGCCGTCCAGCGAGCCCTCCGAGAGCTGCTGGATATCTCTCGTCGGACCTCTATCCCTGACCTGATTGAGTCCACCGCGGAAGCCATTGGCAACCTCAAGAAGTATGAGTTTATCTTGGAGCTGGCGAGGGCAGACATTCGGAGTGACGCGGAGGCGCTGCATCGAGAATTGCTGGACCTGTCGGACGCTGCAGCCGCCGCCCGTCGGGGCTCCATAGCCGACGAGATACCTCGGCTGAAGCCGGGCTCATCCACGCAGCTGAAAGCAGCCAGGGGGGCGAACGGGCAGGTGGCCACAGACCCCGCGGCCATCGCCAAGGGGCTGCAGGACAACTGGGGCGCGACTTTCCAAGAGATAGAGGGGTTGACGACGCGCAGTTGCAGAGCTGGCTCCGGGAAGCGAGTCCTACATGGGCGAGTTCACCACTGCCTCGCGGGGGCCGCCATTGGCAGGTTGCCAGGGAGGACGTGGAATGGGCAGCGCAGCGCGCACCGCTGAGAGCACAGCCCCGGGACCAGACGGCATCCCAGTTTGTCTAATTATCAG